AAATAATATCTCAAAGGTAGCGAGAGTTAGACCTTTTAGGAGTTAAAATGAATTAAAGATCAACTCATAACAAGCTTCCGAACAACAGAAATAAGTCATATCTAATAAACAATAGGTACTTTAACGCAAAGATGTTGAAAACGATACAAGAGATTTACAGGGAAACAAGAAACAGGAGATACAATATAGATAGATAGAAGGCAGGCCGAAAGTTTTGAACACAAATAGGACCTAGACAATGGTACTCATTAAGCCCAATAATTTTCAGAAAAGGAGTGGAAGGAAAAAATGGAGATACTATGATTGGAAGAAGTAAGATTTATTGATTAAGTTTTGCATACAATATAGTTATAGCTTCATATAATAAAGAATTGTAAGAGATGACTGAAAAGTTATATAGATATATATATAGATAGAAATAAGCCCATATTAAATTTAAATAATTCGAAGATTATGGTATTTCGAAATGGAGGAAGAAACGGGAAACTGAAATGTAAGAATCAATAAATAGAGGGATACTGGTTTACAAGTAGAAACGGACTAGAAAAAGGATATAATGCATTAATGCGCAAAGGCGCAGAGAGCTTTAAATGTAGCGATGAGTATAACAAAGATAAGTGAAATTTAGCTCTTTAATATGTTAGTTGGACCAATGGTAATGTATGGGTTAGAAATATGGGGATGGAATATAAAGAAGGTAGAAAAAATACATGAAATTGGTGCTAGGAATAATAAAAATATGCCGGATTATGTATGATAATTTAAAAAAAAAAACACTGAATGTAGAAATAAAAGTATGAAAAGAGGTTGGGGATACGTTTCAGAAATGGTAAGAATGAATGATGACCCAAAAAATGACTGAGATAATAATGTGAATTAAAAATAATTAAAAGAATAAATGGGAGATAGGGATCAGAAGAGTATGTGAAGGTGTTGGAAGTACAGAAATAATAAAAATGATTAAAAAACAAGTACATATAAGAGATATACAGAAAAAAGTAAAAAAAATATAGAAAAAAAAATCGAACAAACTATAAGAGAACTGGAGTGCAGTAAGATAGTCTAATTATTACGCACACCATAAAACGGTGACAAAAACTGGAGAGATGGAATATATGAGAGAACGAGAAAATACATACACGTGTTAAATTATGAATCAGATGCGGAAATATTCATAGAGGACAAGAAGTATGGAAGAGTCTAAAAAATCGGAAGTTTAGGAGATGTAAGGAAAAATAAGAGACAATGGAACACATATATATGGAAATGTGAAGAGATGTAAAAAAATAAGATAGAAATAATATGAATGGATTGAAGAGGAAATAAATCACAAAGGAAATGTACAGGTATATTGATAAGTTTGTAAAAGAAGAAGAATTAAAATAGTAATATATATGTGTGTGTGTGTTTTTTTATAAGAAAGTCACATCAGGCTATCTGCTGTATCCACCAAGGGGAACTGACTCCCTGATTTTAGCGATGTAAATCCGTAGACTTACCGATGTACCACCGAGGGACATAGTAAAAAATACGTAAATAATAATATTGAATTAGACGTAAAATATATTTAAAATAATAAAAAATAATAATATAATCAATGCACTGTATAAAATTATGTACCTTTTTTCTAAAGGTAAACTTCTGCAAGGAAAATAAGTTCAATGCAGTTCAGTACTTCAATGGAAACACTACTTGACTCAGCATCAATTGATCTTGATTTAGATTTTGTTAGGTAGTGCGGGCTAATATATTTCCACCTTACAGTACACATTACCGCAAGACGAAAAAAAAGCAGTGGTGCTTGGCTTAATTAGAAACCTGAGTGAAAAGGGGCGAACTATCTTTCCAATGAAACAATATAAAGATAATAGTGTATGAATAAAACTAAGCCGATTTTCACACTTACAAGATGTATCGCAGGGCATGATCTATCATAGACTTTGTTGTGCTTATGGGAATGGTGTGTGTCTAGTAACAATGGCACAAATCATGATATCAAGTGTGTAAAAATCATAAACACAAAATCTAGCTGCATTTCTTTATTTTTGAGAAACAAAAGTGACGTTTTAATGTGCCATTTTTTTCCACTTTGCATTACTACAGGTACCATTATCCCCAAAACGTTTATCATGGGTACCATTTTCTCTGGATTCGTTGAGAACAAATACAACTCGTAATTAGGTTTCATTGGTTAGGATGTGGGTTTTAATACCAGTGATAAACGACCTTATATGGGTTTCAGTATTCAAGGAAACATAACATTATTTTTTTATATTACAAATAAAACAACCGTAACGCTGTAGAACTGAATTAAAAGCCAATTTTATATTTGTAATGAGAGTAAAATAACGTCTTTTAATTACGATATCAAGAGGTTTGTGATAGTACAAACAAGTTTTTGTCTACAGTGGATTGTTTTTATTTTTGCCTCAAACGTAATATTTTATCCTGTTTGATAAAGTGCTTCACAATCTAATAGAAAATCAACATGAACACAAACAGACGGTGTTAGCTGGATTATCAAATACTTTTTGGAATCTTTAATAACAGCATTGTTTGCTACCCTAACACTGGCCCTGTTGAAATCAAGACAGTGCTGACTGCTGCTCATCCATAGAGGTTGTCAGCACAACTTTTTACACCATTTTTTTTTATTTTTTTACTGACGATATCACGCTCTGCTTCGACCCTGATTGCAGCATCCACCGAGGGACTATCTCCAATCTTCGTGTTGCAAATACTCAAATTTATTATGATACATACTAATCTAATACAACTATAAACTGTTTAGTTTGTAGAGTTTTGAAGCTCTTGGAACCTAGACCCGAAAAAAATATGAAACCCTTTTAAATAATACTTAGTCTACTGTATTTTATTCACACATCACATAAAATGTTAGCCCCCTAAGCTAATACAACTTGCACGTATCAACGTAAAGAGAGTAACAGCAAACAGGCCAACCCCCTGAGGCAAGAATCCTGGGCTCATTTGAATACAGCTCCTACCCGTGGGTATGGCCTTGGGTTGTTGCTTTCTCTCACAGAAACAGGTAGGTCATCATATTCGTGTTGTTTTCGTGAGGCTTAATTACACGCTTACATGACTAACTCACAATGAAGTATAATTAAATCCATGGTTTGGAGTTTGTGGATAATTTCTTTTGCTGTAAGTTTATGAGCACTTTCGTTTACTGCAAGTTTATGGACCCTTTCGTTTGCTTAAAGTTTGTGGATACTTTAATTTGCTGAAAATGTATAGATACTTTAATTTGCTAGGCTTATGGATACTTTAATTTACTGCAAGTTTATGGTCACTTTCGTTTACTGCAAGTTTATGGTCACTTTCACTTGCTGCAAAACATTATTTTTTTATATTTTTCCAAAAATGGAATGTTCTCTAGTATTGATTTTTCAAAAGCCTGCTAATCAACTCCCGACAAATCTATTTTGATGTGCCAGTATACTACGTTTCACACACGCACACAAATCAACAACATATATTGCTAAATTTATAAACCGAACAGACAAAACTTCTTCCTTTCAAAAGCAAAGTGGGAAGTCTACGTATCAGTTGGAGTCTTTTAAATTACTTATAAACTGAAATTACAACTAAGGTTCGCGCACAGCTATTTCTCCATTCAGAATTTTCCGAATGTTTTTCCATTATATTCAAAGAGAATAAAAAATCGTAAGAGGCTCCAGCAACAACTGATAGTTCTAATTACCTAAAATACTCTTCATCTTCCCCAGAATCTTTAGTTGGAAAGATACTATTCTGGTTTGCAAGTCTTAAAACTACATGTATTACCAAGATGCAGATGTATATGCTCCGCATTATCAGCTGTGGAAGAGTTATGAGAGAGAGACGTTTGATCCCGATTTTCGGCTCAAAGTCGAACAATGCCTTTGTGGCGGCGAGAGGTACTAACTGGCTGCTTTCCCTTTGGTAGGTAGTTCAAAATTATACTTGAATACTAGGAGTCTCGGACCTGGCCACTTAGCTCATATGTGCATAAGGTACCGATCAACTTGAAAATGATTTCAGTTAACTGATCTAGGGTAATTTTAAACAGATATTTTGACATATAACGAATATAATAAAACTTCAAAAATCAGCTAAAATTATTGAACTTTTCTCAAAACGCTAAAAAGAAGACTTCAGTCCGAGTCGAGTATAAGCTTTTTTTACTCATATCCGCATAAAATAAATCTAAGTTTTGATTTTACCTCCATATATTACTAAACCTTTATGAAGTATTTTTGATGGCAACATTTTTCTAATTTTAAAAATTACTAAGAACAGTCCAGGTTCTATTGTTTTTCACAAGCATAAATCGAAATATAAATAATATGAGGTGAAGCTATAATGATGCCATCATCCTGTCAAAATCCTTAGTCTTACATCCCCCCCCCCCAAAAAAAATTATGTGGAATGAGAGAGAGATAGAATAGAATTACTGTTTCAAGTTTATTGATACATATTAACGATTTCAAAATGTATTTGTCTTGGTGTTTCATGTTCAATAATATCACACATATTAATATCGCAACATTTAACTGGAGAGTTAGGCTTTACTATTTTATAAAATATTTTAAAATACTTTGAAGATATATAAATAACATCTGCATTTTGTTCTTATTCACATAGTTTGAAAACAATTATAATATATATATATATATATTATTGGACATTTTGGTTTAATTATGTCCTAATATTCTTATTCACGTAGTTTGAAAACAATTACAATATATATATATATTATTGGACATTTTGGTTTAATTATGGTCCTAATATTCTTATTCACATAGTTTGAAAACAATTACAAAATATACATATATATATATATATTATTGGACATTTTGGTTTAATTATGTCCTAATATTCTTATTCACATAGTTTGAAAACAATTACAAAATATACATATATATATATATATTATTGGACATTTTTGTTTAATTAATTACGTCTCGGTATTCTTATTCTACAAAGTGGATTCTTACCTGCACTGCGCTGTTTAAGAAACAGTTGTTTTGGCCAGGCATGTTGAGCAGACCTTTAAAATAGCCAATGGACATAGAATCACGCGGATTCATAAACATTTGTGGTTCGGCATTCGTCACATTGAGAGCTTGCGTTGGTGATGGGGCAGACCCATGGACAGGAGTCGGGGCTGGAACCATTGGCATAAACTTACTAAACAAAAGGATTTGGTTAAATTGGATGATGAAACTTGTGGATCACCGCCTCATCATTGATCTTCAAGCTAGAAAGTAAAATAAATTATTTATGTCCTAAAGTACAACCTAATTTTCCATATTTTCTAAAGAATCATACTTCAGGCTTCAAATGCTTCTATTATTCACTGTAATTCCAATTACAGAAAGAATTTTAGTGCATTATCAAAATATATGATCCATTCCTACGTTATTGTAGATCTTCGAAGATACTTATGTAAACTACCTTTTTACTGTATTCAATCTGCGGACCGTTAAAAAAAAAGACAAACATCCCAGTGACTTTTGGTAGTATCGTCGACAAACTGAGCTTATTAACCAATCAGTTAAAGGAAACAGGTGTTAAAAGGCCAACAAAAATTATTCTAGCAGTTTAGAGGATTGTGTTCTTTTCTTTCGATATATTGTTGAAATAAGTAGCGTAACGGTTTCGACCTGGCAATGTCTTTCACTTCCACTGACGACTGTAGGAATGGAATAATCAAACACACTTCATGCTTTGTGAGTTAGACCAACAATATCTCGTCACACTTTCTAACCCAGTGCCCTCTTCAAACCATTCATAAAAGAATTAATCTAATTATTCTTGAGCCGAAAAATGTATCATGCATAAAATAAAAACAGCTAATGTTTTTAACTTACGGCACTACGAAAAAAATCACTTAACACTGAAAAAAATACTTAAGAAACTAGATAAAATAAAAGTAAGAAGAAACATTAATATTTTTCTGTGCGTATGTCTGTGAAACAGTAATTTACTAGTCGCTTTCGAAACTACATTTTTTTTTCATTTTCACAACATATTTACAAGTTTAGAAAATTGATAACTTACTTCATTTATTTTCCAAGCCAAAATGAAAACTTTAATTGTTTCCAACATAATAAGTCTGAGTAAAATGTTGTTAAAGGATCATCTGATAGGTAAGTAAAAAAAAAAAATAGATGAACAGGTGATATTAGCTGGACTTGTAGCGTCAACAAGTTGTGATTACACGTGATTACTGTTGTTCTTTCGTGTAATAATTAAGTTTGTAGACATTAAAAAATACTACTTCATAAACATTGAATTTATTACACGGAGAAACTTCTTTGCAGTTCTGGCCGTAATACACATTAATACGTATTTCCCACTGAAAATAGTTAATCGGTAAAATTTATTTTTTCTTTTGGTATTTATGTAATCGTCAAAATTTATCTCTTGTGTGTTATATTTATCAGAACGTCAAAATTCACCTCTTACGTGTTACACTTATTTCATCAACAAGATTTACTTGTTACCTGTTATATTTAATTTACAATAACCACCCTTTTTCGTGTTATATTTATTAGAAACAATATACCGTCAGTTAGTGCACAGAAAACGAGGCGTGTTTTTAACCCAGGTCTAAACCAGTTTTCAAAACAATATATACAAGAACAATCAATTTATAAGTATCTTGCCTTAAAGTTGGTACTTAACCAACAACTTATTTCTATGGGTTGGCCAGTTATCTGTAATACACTTACTTTCTCTTTCAAGAAAATTCTACAATCCATAAAGGGTGTTAGCCTCTTGTCAATATTAAAATGTCACGAACAATTAGCGACCTAAATTTAATCAAGTTTTGTTACACACGTGCTCTACGAAAAGGTGCATGTAATTGGAGTTATGAAGACTAAATCAACTGAAGACGAACATTTCTAGACCTTTGACATCATTCATCATAAAACATTGGAAGCTGTAATTAGAAATATCGTTGCACACTGGAAAAAAGCCTATAACGAGAATAGAATCTGATTTCATGGAACACATTATTGTCTATTGTATTAGAACATTCGTGCTTTTTTATCTATTGCGTTTTTACTGGTACTCTATAAACTTTGAGGATCACCCCTTATGTATATGCATATCTACCAGATTAACATAATTAAATGATTGTCACAAAATATTTTATCTTTGAATATTTTTTTTCTCTAAAAGGATTATAATACACAACTGAAGTTAACGGAGTACGTCTTCTAAATATGTGCACGTTTTAAGAATTATATTGTTAGAAACTGTTCGATGCCAGAGAACGAGGACGCTTAATGATTCGTACTTAAATCATCAGAAACATTATTACCATAATGGCCTGTCGCTGAGAAACAATGCTGTTGAACCTTATATTATATACATCCATTGCTAGGTAACATAATGCTCTTTACAGTAACCTGTTGCTAGGAAATGAACGGACATACGGTTACAATATGTTTAAAAAAGATACTACTACTTTAATTACTTACTAGAACATCTTGTGATGCAGTAAATAGACATTTGTTCTCCATAGCGTAATTCCAGTCTTGGCTTAAACTGACAAAAAAAAGCACCTTTCCCTTAGGGTGACCTTGGTTCTTTCTGAACGCTAAACCACCGAAGATAAAGCCTGAGTATAGTTGCTATGTTATTTTTCTTAAAACGTACCAAATGTTTGCTTTACTACCTAATAAGTGCTTTAGTCCGAATTACTTTGAAATAAATGCATAAACAGGTTTGTGGTACTATCAACTTTTGAAACTCTGTGCTTAAGTTTCAGTAACTTCTACACCTGTATTTCAACACAAACATTGCTACACATAAACGAGTTTTACCTGCGTCCTCGAAAAACACTAGTAGCGCCCTCATGCGGGACGCTAAACAGAGATTGTGCGGGTAGAATACCTGTTGATTTGTTCTGAAATAGCATGCGCTGGCAGACCGTGCTGCCAATTTTGTCCAATCAGAGGAGAGAGAACTTAAAGTGGCGTCACATAAGACCCACTAGAACAAGACACCTTGTTCGTCGTCTAGATCAGCTGATTAGTCCTACGCTTGCTTCAAGTTTCAAAAACTCTATTCACCTCCATTCTCTAAAACTTAACAAAGGAAAAGCACCCGACAGCACGTGCAATAAGCAGGTGGCGCGTGACTAGGCACGAGATTTCCTGTCAAAATCGCTCACCCACAAATTCTTAAACTTGTTATACATTTTTTACAGGTTTTTTCATTTAAAAGGTTGCATATAATAAAGGGCAGTAACTGAAAATCTAATTTCTCTTTTTTCATATTTAGCTAAAAACAATTTTTATGATAGTTTTAAAGGGTTGAATGAGATAAACTGTACTTGAATGATATACACGCTGCAACAATTTAAAAGAAGAGTATAAATTATTTTCAAAACTGGTATTTTAGTATCAAACAAATTACTTGCCTCTATAATACTTCCTTGTATCTAACGCTTATTCGGCTTCATCCATTTTTTATGCATCCTGGACACAGATAAAATTCAAGCTATAGACGGTTTAATCGGGCAAATTAAAATGTGAATAAAACATGTCAAATTAACATGGCATTTAGTAACACTGTGTTCTGTCAAAATTTGTAATTTTTTTGTGTTACCATGTTACGTGGTGACACGTTGTGTTTCAGTAAAATTCATTTTCTCGGCTGAACCGTTTATAAATGGTCAATTAATAATGGCATTTGAAATCACTCAAAAGCGTTAGTTTTTGTTTACTTAATCTTGGAATTGGAATTTCCAACCTGAACAACACCTTGTGCGCATGTGAGCCAGGTTAAAAAGTATTCTAACTTAGCCGTCCCTAATTTTGAGCTACTACTGACCAGAGAAAAGACAGCCAGCTAGCGAAAGCCGTCAACACAAAGGCTTTGTTTCGTTTTTCCAACCGAATAAGGGAACTGATTGTTACTTTTATAACTCTTCACAACTTAAAATGCAGGGTTTCAGCGGTATCTCGTTTCGTACGTCGGACCATTCCATCCGTAGCCCGACACATTAATCACAAGGACACGCTCGAATAAACCGATTTAAAAATATAATTGCATAAGACTTAAACCTTTGTTTATAGTATCTAAAAATACTTCATGGAAATATTAAATGCTAGATTAGTTTAATAAATATTTAACTATAAGTTGTACTATGTACAAGAAAAGACTTACACAAATTATTTCAATATTCTAATAGGGTAACTCAATGAGACTTCTCAACAAGCTCTATACGATCCTACCATGACATAAAAATACAAGTGTGAATAATTATTCCAGATTTTTTTTCTTTTTATCTAAAATAGATAAGTCTGGAAGCTTTACTTGTTAAGTATTGTACAGCTCGATATCTACTAATATGTTGTTGGTTTTTACAAGAAAATATTCAACATAGTACTGGTCAGATGTAAGGAATCCCTTGTTGATTTATAAAAATCCTATAGCATTACGGTATTTTGCATCGAAATTTACATTTAAAGTCTTTGTTTTGTTTCAGAACGAAGCCACATTGGGCTATCAGCTGTGTCCAACGCGGGAATCGAATCCAGAATTTTAGTGTTGTAAGTCAATAAACTTACCGCTGTACCACCGGGGGACACATTTCAAGACAGTCGTTGCTTTAATATATTTATTTACTGTTTCATATTACATATCATATCATTAGAATGTGTGTATTTTAATATATAACGTATATTATATATATAAAAAACATGTCTATAAGTTTTTGACAGCATTACATTCTTATGACGTGATTGGAGACACATTGAATGTCTAAGAACTCAAGAAATGTGATTGATAAGGAAGTTATACGATAATGTCTCATTAATGATAAATCTAGAATAACAACAAGGCATCTCATTAGTTCTAATTGAGTTATTTTCACGAATACCTGATGAAATATTTGAATGAAACAAAGTTTCATCTAAATCTTCGAAACGTGAGAATAACAAATATACACACTACACTATATGAAAGTTTTTAATTTTTTTAACAATATTTTTACATGAACGACAGAACATGGCGACCTCACAATCACAAGCTGACTTAAGCGGTTCCAAAATCAGTGATACTTTCGTGGTAGACTGTTCTCTACCATCTGTTCGCTTCATTCTTTACAAACGATTAACCTTCCGCTTTGTGATGGATTAGGTGTGTTAAGGTGTTTGTTTCCGACTTTTTTGGTTTCTGTAAGCGTTGTCGGTTAGTTAACTATGGAACCTGAGGAGAACCATCTGTGAAAGCCACTGATGGTTCTTTAAATGCCCTCAAACCAATCTAGTCTGACAAACAGAGAAACGCCAGCTGTTGAGTGTAAAAGTGGGCCATCACCTGTCACTCGTGGCAACAGTAAACGTATTATTGACATGCACGTTATTACTTCTGTCACTCGTGGCAACAGTAAACGTATTATTGACATGCACGTTATTACTTCTACAATACCATGTTATTAATCTAACCGCTAGTAACCAAGGGAAATATTGTTTGTTTTTGTTTGTTTTTGAATTTCGCGCAAAGCTACACGAGGGCTATCTGCGCTAGCCGTCCCTAATTTAGCAGTGTAAGCCTAGAGGGAAGGCAGCTAGTCATCACCACCCACCGCCAACTCTTGGGCTACACTTTTACCAACGAATAGTGGGATTGACCGTCACATTATAACGCCCCCACGGCTGAATAGGCGAGCATGTTTGGTGGGACGGGGATTCGAACCCACGACCCTCGGATTGCGAGTCGAGCGCCCTAACCACCTGGCCATTGGGGGAAATATTCAGTTTATCCGATATATGGGAAGCTCGTTAAACGTTAAAAATATAGCAGAATATCTAAATTTTCAGCTACAGACTAAAGTCCTCAGACATCAGTATATGCTAGAACAAGGGCTTTGTCTGACTTTTTGAACCAAATAACAGGATTGGCTGTCACATTTATAACGCGCCAACATTTGACAGTGGTCGCTGCTGCATGTTGAGTGCATCATCAGATAACCTCATAGGATTACTAAGGAAGGGCTAAAACGTACCCGACCTTTCCAGGTTCTATATCGCACCCAAAACCCGACCTAGATGAGCGAGCGAGAGCGCATCACCATTCAAATCCTGGACCCTTCGATCCATAGCCCGCACGCCAATCACTGGGTCATACCACATTAAACCCATTTGAAAAGACAGAATATAAGACTAACACTTATGTACGGAAACGTTAAGTGTATTGTTTTAATAAATTAGTAAGTATACGTTGGGGGACACAATAACAAAATCACGCAGCTTATTTAAATATTGATTAATGGAAAATAATATTACTTATATTATTTTTGCCCTGAACGTGACGGATAAGAACCATTAACTGAAACTGTATGTCCGATAATAAAATTATAGAAAATAAACATGACCAATTTTCAACGATATGTGTACATTTTAATGTAAATAAAATTGAATCAAACGTCATTAAAACTCTTTCGTTTCATCACGACATATTGTAATATAATATCAATAAATTATACGAAACTAGGATTTCAAGGATTAATAGAAGTAGTCTACGAAAAAACAATTTTCGTGACACAAAAAGCACTACAAAATTTAAAAGCAAGATTAACTTTATTCTTGTACTAGTCTTCTTAATGAACATCTAATCTGGACATGTGATTGTCTACAATAAGTAGACTTGTTAGCTTACTGTCTTTGTTTTCAAGGCTAATACCCAAATCATATTCACAGTAGCTCTCTCGGTATCAAATAACCGGACGTCAAACAAATATGAAGTTTTATTTTTATGGCACGTGTCAAACGTGCTGGTTACCAACTGTTACTAGACGGTGACTGTAGTATTTGTTTCCAGTAGAGAATTCTTAGTTACTTGCTTATACACCATGAACCAGAAACATGTTTTCAGGTTGTCTGCGAGATGATTGCTGGCCTTGATTGTAAACAATAGTTCAATTCACTTGGATGTTCTTGTCTCCCAAATCTAAATCTGTCGTTTTACACTCCACATTGAAAAAAGACACACATAACGTTGCGACTCAAAATACGCAGTAATTTTCTTTTTTACTTCGTTTAAAAGAAACGTTCACAACCTTTTTAGGGTTCAGCACCACTTTACCAAAAATACCTAATTTACCATAGTTATGATCTTGAAAGTGTAAATGACAGTATAGTTATGACCTTTAAGGTGCAGCGGACTATAGTTATGATCTTCAAGAGTGCAGCTGACTACAGTTATGACTTTCAAGGTGCAGCTGACTATAGTTCTGACTCTCAAGATACAAAATTAAAAATCAATCCAGTAATGAGCATAGCTAGTTAAATATACTGTTATTGCGTTCTTACTTATGAATATCATAGTATACTAATAACTGTTGTGGTGTGTACTTCTCTTACAAGCTGGCGAAGAATGATTACAGTTGTACTTATCACATTATCATAATACACTGTTTCATCAATTGTGTACCCTCTCTGTTAATGATATTTTCAGCCGTATGCAGCTGACCAATTTTCAACGATATGTGATATTTGTCCGAAAATTGAAGAACGTCAGATTTTTAAATTGAAAAATATATACATATATATAATATAAGACACTTTGTTAGATACTGCGTTTATTTGTGATCCTATGGCAGATACAAGGCAATATTTTTGGTTATTTTTTCCGTATTTGTAAAAATTCTGGAAAGAAAACTGGTTAAAGAAAGTTTGGTGTTTTTAATCACTTTAGGAAAGTTAGTATTTCAACGTAAAGC